TACCTTTTAAATCGTAAATTATAATTCGGAGGTCTAATATCAAACCCAGCAAAGTGACATAAAAAGACTAAAACTATTAATATAGGCATTAGAATTTTTCAAACCCCAGACTTTAATTCTTTGATTAGACATTTCCACACTGAAAGAAATTTATGTTTCATATATGGACTACCACATACATTGCTAAAACAAACATATAATATATTTACCTTAACCATTTTTATATTTAGTTTTAACATATTATGTTAAAACTAAATATAATATATGTTTGTTTTAGCAATGTATGTGGTAGTCCATATATGAACCACAAACATTGCTAAAACAAACATATATTTCTTTCAGTGCAACCTGTACCATAATAAGATCCATAAATAGTTATTTTCAGATCCGTTAAGTTTATAGATTTTTATATGCTTATATTTTGGGCTTTGACACACATATTTGGCAGTAAAATTTTATTTGTATTAATTTTTTGTCTTCGGATTATTTTAATTCTAGTTATTATTTGAGTTGTGTTCTTACACTGTAATAATTTTAGTATTCAATCAGTTTAATATTCAATTTCAGAGAAAGCAAGGATAATGATACAAATAAAATGCTGTAAATAGACGAGGATAGAAAGTAAAGAGTAGTAAAGTTTCGCTTAAGTTTTGGCCACTATACTTCCACGTTATAGAAACCTAATCACAATGTGGTATAAACGTGTCTGTATATAATTTAAGAACGTTGTTGGGGCTAAAAAAATTCCCCATTTTAGTCACTTCCAGGTAATAGAACCGTGGCCACGTGGCAGAGATTTTGGCAATACACTAAAAATAGTACTTGGGAGGGATCGTCCACACGTTTAGGGTGATTTATTTCCGCAAAGTTTTTGTTTTTTTCGGTGCTCAGGCAAAATATTAATCTGCAAATAGAAAAAAAAATTCTCACCAAGTTTGAGCTCTTAATATCAATTTTAAGTACTTACTATTTAAATTCAAAGTTTTACCCTTTAAAATGCATGTAAAAAATATTTTTTTTCAAATTTCTATTGCTTATCCACCTTTGACAATATTGAAAAACCTTAATCAAAATATACAGAAGGTTACGTTATTATGTAACATATTCCAAATTTTGCTTAAAAATATTAAATAATCTTTATTTATATTTTTTTGCTATATGGGTCAGAATTTCTCAAACGGGCCACCTGAATTAGGTCAAAATTAGTTTTTGTTTGTAGATACATTTTTTTGATAGTATTTTACATCACTAACACAAATCCTAAAGGATTTTGTAAAAAAAAAATTTTCAATTGACATATTCATGATATTAAAAGTCAAAGTTTTTAATAATTAAAAAATAAAAAAATTCATTATGGCTGAACTAATTATCCGATTCCAACGATATAACTAGCGTTGGAATCTTGTTTTGACATAGATTCTTTGTTATTTTTTTCAATTGTCCTATTTTCATTTAGGTCGATTTTTTTTTGTTTTTTTTATACCAAATTCGGAAATAATTGCCTTCTGCGCCAGCTATCGACTCGAGAAAAAAAACACATATACTCCAATCATTTCTCGAAATTATGCTGCTGAGAAAAAAAATGGCCCGCAGGTTGACAAAAAGTTATTTGTCCTTTTGTGGCCGCGCGCGGTGTCAGCTCACGCTCCGAACCGTGTACGCTGTACGCGCTTGTGACGCGACGTCTTACGGTGGTCTGGAACCTGCGGGCCATTTTTTTTCTCAGCAGCATAATTTCGAAAAATGATTGGAGTATATGTGTTTTTTTTTTCGAGTCGATAGCTGGCGCAGAAGCCAATTATTTCCGAATTTGTTATAAAAAAAACAAAAAAAAATCGACCTAAATGAAAATTGTACAATTGAAAAAAATAACAAAGAATCTATGTCAAAACAAGATTCCAACGCTAGTTAAATCGTTGGAATCGGATAATTAGTTTAGCCATAATGATTTTTTTTATTTTTTAATTACTAAAAACTTTTACTTTTAATATCATGAATATGTCAATTGAAAATTTTTTTTTTACAAAATCCTTTAGGATTTGTGTTAGTGATGTAAAATACTATCGAAAAAATGTATCTACAATCAAAAACTAATTTTGACCAAATTCAGGTGGCCCGTTTGAGAAATTCTGACCCATATGATAGAAATGTTGAAAAATTGCAAAATCCTCGTTACAATTTTATTCTGAATTATTATGAATTAATGTGTTGTTTTCATATTCATTATGAGTGAGAAATTATAATAATTTTAAAAAAGTTCTTAGTGTAGGGAAATATAATGATAATAAATAGATAAACGATATTTTTCAAAGACTTCTACGGATGAACCATTGCGAGTTACACAAAAAAACTTCGGAGCAATTTTGAAGAGCGTGAAATTCCGCACAAGGTCCATCAAACCGATTTGCAATATTGTAAAAGATGTTTACATGCATTTTAAAAGGTAAAACTTTAAATTTAAATAGTAAGTACTTAAAATTGATATTTAGAGTTCAAACTTGGTGAGAATTTTTTTTTTATGCATTTTGCTTGAGCACCGAAAAAAAACCTTGCGGAAATGAATTACCCTAATACATATAGAATATTAAGTTTAATAATTTATAAGCAATTAGTATTTGCCGATTACACTGTTTAAAATATCTGTGGTGTAAAGAGTAATCTTAAAATGGTGTCAAAATTCAAAACCAAGTGTTGTTAATATAAACACCATGAATTATGGTTGAAAATGTTATATACAGCAAACACCAAAACGGTGTTTATCTAAAAATATTTCAGAAGTGCACCTACACAGAAAAAAAGGAATAGTTCATTTATCTATATTAATTTAGTTGAAGTATTTATTAAAAATCAACTGTGGAAAGGTTAATATAAACAAAGATTAGTTTGACGGTACTAAACCATAGTTATTTAGCCCAGAAAACTTTAGTGAAACCAACCCACTGTATACATATATGGTTCAGTTACTAAATATGTTGTTTGTAAAATAAGAGTTACTTCAACCTAAAGCACTCTGTTAAAACAATTAAAACAATTTGCCGTGCATTCCTGGTTGCATAGTGTGTACTGATCGCGGCAAAGGCGGTGTGGATCACGTGATGTTCTTAAATCTCGCCTCTGTTGACTTACATGAAGAGTATATAGGCTCAGGTAGTCCTTTGCTTTGGTGTGACACTACAAGTTGTTCGATACTAAAAAGACCTTAAATAGGTGGAAACAGCTGTCAATACTTGAAGTATTTTAAGTTGGTGGAACGCACTAAAAACCTTATCTCTAGCGAGTTAAAGGTTCACTTTTCTGGAATAATACCACTGGTAATAAACTAGTAATGCGTCAAGGAACTTCCTGTTTTTTTTTCTTTTTTTTTGTGTAGTATGATTTAATTTGACCAAAAACACATAATATTTAACACTGAAAAGGAGTTCAATTTACACCGGGTAAAATTTATTTTAATACTGTGTGAAAGTTAAATTTACACTATTTTAGTATTTGAATTTACACTGGACCAACGAACCATATTTAACACCATTTTGGTTTGTATCGATATTAGGATGTGCCAAAAAAACTAGATATATTTTTTTCTTGCTCTCCACCCAAAATATCGTAGAATATGTCCGAACAAATATCCTGTTAAAAGCGGAGCTCATAATTTCAATTTTAAGAGGTCCTTCATCGAATCTGAAGTTTTGCCGCTTAAATAGCACAGAAAACTGACTTTTTTACCTTATTTATTCTTGCAACCTAGGAAGAAATTTTTTGTTCATAAAATCCATGACCAAATCTTACAAAGCATTAAATTTGGACAAAAATCTTATTAATCTTATTAAGCCGAGTTTCTATTTTCATTATTTGATTTTTTACAGAGCTTTAAATTTAAAATTTTACGTTTTTTGCCTTTTTCAGCTAAACTATTGAAGTTAGACGAAAAAGTTGGCAATTTTTTAGCTTGTCTGATGGACCACAAAAAAGTTTTAGGCGATGTTTTGTATCGGCAATATTCTAAAAGTTACAGGCGTATAAAGTCATCATTTTTGTATTATTAACTTTTTGTGAGGGAAATATTAATGTTAGCACAAAAAGTCAATAGAGAACTATAAAAAAATTGAATTTTCGGAAAAATTGTCCTAATAAAATTTGATATATTGATATTGATATTGTCCTAATAAAATTTGATATACTGTCAACCATTAAAATTTACAGACTTATTTAAGCTTATTTCGATGTTTTTTTACGTAAATCAGATAAACAAAATTTTATAAAAATTTTATTTCTTATTCCATTGTTTACAGTGAATTATCGCTTAAAATACTAATAATAATATCTTACTAACTATTATCGTACAAAAATTTTTGAATCTGTAATTATTACATTAATATTCATTAATAATACAAAAATGATGACTATACGCCTGTAACTTTTAGAATATTGACGATACAGAAAATTCGCCTTAAACTTTTTTGTGGTCCATCAGACAAGCTAAAAAATTGCCATTTGACTTTTTCGTCTAACTTCAATAGTTTAGCTGAAAAAGGCAAAAAACATAAAATTTTAAATTTAAAGCTCTTTAAAAAATCAAATAATGAAAATAGAAATTTGGCTTAATAAGATTTTTTCGTCCAAATTTAATGCTTTGTAAGATTTGGTCATGGATTTTATGAACAAAAAATTTCTTCTTAGGTTGCAAGAATAAATAAGGTAAAAAAGTCAGTTTTCTGTGTTATTTAAGCGGCAAAACTTCAGATTCGATGAAGGACCTCTTAAAATTGAAATTATGAGCTCCGCTTTTAACAGAATATTTGTTCGGACATATTCTACGATATTTTGGGCGGAGAGCAAAAAAAAATATATATCCAGTTTTTTTGGCACACCCTAATCGATATAGATATCTATGGTGTTAATTTTGTGTTAAAATTTTGAACAGTGTACCTCTTTGCGGGATGGGATCCCTCGCGCTATCCAGCTCCAACTCAGCCTCTTCATGGTAAATATCCGCCACCTCGGACACGCATTTAAGAATCAGCCTGCCTTGACTGAAGTGGAACTCGTAGAGCTCCATCTCCAACGTCAGATCGCTCCAGGCCTGCTCCATTGTCTTACGCGGTGTGAGCGGTTCGCTTCTTGCGACCTGAAACAAAAGTTTTTCATTTATAACCCCGCCTAAGTGGAATTCATTAATAAAGTTTGACAAGATTTGCCGCCGCCAGTGAATAAGGGCCTCTGAGTGCTGACTGTGTCTACACTTTAATTAGCCCGATTTATCGGATTTGGTGCATTAATTGTCGTTGTTAACAGTTTTGAATTGACTTGAGCTTGATCGGATTGAATAATTTAGGTAAATTGATATAGTAAACTGTATACGAGGTGTGTTCAGAAAATATCGGGTATTTTCGTTTTTTGAAACAAATATTTATTTATTCGTCTACATTAATGTTGTCGCCTTCAAAATAGTGCCCATTAAATATTATGCACATGTGCCAGCTCTTCTTCCAATACTCGAAACACTTCTAAAACTCGATCTTTGGGATAGCCTTTTGTTCTTTCAGAGACGCGCTTTTAATGTCATCTATAGATGAGCAAGCATATATGCTTGCAAAACGACGGTTCTCTTTATTTTTGGGAATAGAATAAAGTCAGACAGAGGCATGTCTGGCGAATATGCTGGGGCATCATTACAGTATTGTTTTTGGCTAAAAATTTTGTTCAAAATTTAACAATTTTAGAACAAATTTTTCTGCCACGCGTTTCATATCCAAAACATTCTAAAAAATTTCATGGGATGAGCCAATCGATATACCAACTTCATCAGCGACTTCTCTGATGGTTTATAACCATTTCTTCCACTTTTTCCATGTTTTTATAGGTTGTTAATGTGCTTGTGCGTTCGGGGCGTTCGTCATCTTCAACGTCTTCACGGCCATCTTGGAAACTCTTATACCACTTGTAAACTCTTGTTTTACTTATAGCAAACTCACTATAGGCCTTTGTTAATATTTCACCGAATTTATTTCATTTTTTAAGCAAAATTGGATACAAATTCTTTGATTCATTTCTTTTAACGATCGAAAAATCGCCGAGCTCATAAAACACGTCTAACCTTAGCGGCTGCCACAGACAAAGTAAACAATAAAAACAGCTAAAGTTTTTATCATACTTCGGGGGCATGTATAGGAACATAATAAAGAACATTTTATGACAACCGGACCCTCCGAACCCGCGAAATTTAACAATTCCCGTTATTTTCTGAAAACACCTCGTACAACGGCGTACCAACTATACACCATAAAGTGGATTAAAAACACCATAATGTGTTTCTTTTGTATTATTGCTAAAAAACCAGAAATGTATATGATGGCTGTATTTTTAACTTTAAACGTAAATTTTACACTGTAGATAAAAGTTTATTATTATACGAGAGATGATGCAATTATTGACGAGAGACTCAAATCATCTATACTTTATCTACTTCAATAAGTAGATAATTAAATAATTTTTAAAATTAATCAAATAAAATCTGACGTCTGTTAAAAGAATAACCTCACTTTTTACCAATTTTAAATGTTATTATAGTGGCCTTCTTTCAATTTAGAACCAGATTGGTTGAAATCACAGTATATATTCAAAAATAAAAACAGTAATGAAAACCTAACATATACAAAACTCTAGTATGACCATTAGATGAAAAATTACAGCTCCACTCATTACTATGCTCAGCATAAACATTAGTAATACATTTTTAAAGAATCACACTATGATTTTTTTTCTAACATTGAGTACTCCGGACTAGTTTTGGGCTGCTGATTTCAAAAATGTCACTCGTTTTGCTCTAGGACGTCTAGGATGTAAAATAACTGCCTAATAAATTGCTCTGCTCAATTACCTCACCTGTAGGTTTTTTTGTTAATATTTTAATTAATTATTAAATTATTTTGCCTTAAATTTATCTTGATTGTACTAAAGTAATCGGTATACGTCAAATAGATAATATTTAACTTAGCGGTATGACATTTTAAATAGTAAAACTAAAATTATAATGTATTTTGTCTACTCCCACCTTTAAAATGCCCTTTATCGTACATGTTTCCATGACACTAAGTGACCTTTTAAAAACACATTGACAAGTTGTGGCTTTATTGCGCTTTATTTACGGGCTGAAGTTAGCAAGAGGTTTTTAGTTAGTTTTAAGTTAGTTAACAGTTGTCAAATGTCATACAATCGTTAAAATAAACTGCCTTTCTTGTAAAATAATACTAAATGTGAAAATTATTTTATTATCTCAATACAAAAATACAAAAGTATTAAATAGTTTCTCAACGCCAATATTTGAAAAGTTTATATGAACATTGTACTGACCTTTTAATTTCGCCGGCAGTAAACTATAACTTAAATTCGGACACGGACTCCACTCTCTAAAAATGAAATAGTCAAAATTCTACTATTTGAATTAGTAAAAGCATTTTTTACTAATAAAATAGTCGTTTTCACTTTTAAATAGTTATTTTTTACTATGTAAATAGTTAAAGTTTGACTAATTTAAGATTAGTCACCATATTTGACTATTTCTGACAGTTAAAAGTAACTAATTTCTTTAGTCGTTTACGGCCAACAACAAAGTATTATTTGAATTAAATGCATATACCTCTCCATGGTTAAATGACCCATAAAACAAATAAAGATGCAAAAAGTTTAGCTCAAAATAGCAAGACAAATAATATATTAAAATTTAAAATATTATGAACCATATTTATTGACAAATAAAATTAATTTTTATAAGAGTGGCTGACAGCCGAATGCGTTAAGACGTTAGCTTGACAAACTTGTCAAGTGACATTCCTGAGTTCAATCCCAGGCTGGGTCAAAACTTTTTTTAAATTTAAATTTACTAATTTGACTATTTCATTCAGTGGAATTTGACTAATTATTAGTGACTGCTTTTTCACTATGACAATTAGTCAAATATGACTTATAATTAGTTATTTTTGACTAATTCATTTTAAGAGAGCACTGTAAAGTGCTCATAAAACATTTTCTTTACTTTCACTGTGAAAAACTGTAAATTTTCAAGAAGTACATTTGGATTTATAACCTTTATAATCTGTGTTTATAAAACATAAAAATTTGACATTTGACGGTGACACAGAGATTCCCCTAATGTTTCATAGATGGCGCTCTATATAAATTTTTGATTTTAATCATTTTAAGATAATAATAAGTATTTGTCGTAGAAAAAGTATAGTATGCACCTCGTTTATAGGTAAACTTTTCCATACACTCATTAATTTAAGCACTCGCTCGCAAGCTCGCTCGTGCCTAAATTAAATTCGTGTATAAAATGGCGTTTATCAAACTTGATACATAACTTACTATTATGTTAAAATAACCAGTATTTGACATTTTATTTTAATTAAGTTTCGGTATGAAAATTATGTTCGCCAATCCTGTTAATTTAGACCTATTAAAAACTGTCAAAAATAAGGATAAAAAGGAAGGAATAGAAATTCCAAAATTGGCGAATATTTTTCTATTTACCTTTTTCATAGTAACGAATGTATTATTGTATAGAAAAATGACAAAGTGACACAAAAATGACTTAATTTATTTACTCGTGGAATTTTCTCAACAAATACCACTCGAAGTTCGATTGAGGAGGAAATTTTTTGGATTTGGTGGTTTATTAATTTGACTTTAAGAAATTTAGGCAAATTGACATCAATTCTTTGTAAAGCGGAGAGCATTTGGTCTTAATATCTTCTATGAGGGATATAATACTACTACTGCTACAATGGAACAAAAATTCAAAATTTAAATATTTTTTATTTGACATATAGGTACCTACCGATGACTTTGTTCACACAAAGTCACTGTATATTTTTGACAAAAAAGGTCAAAAATATACTGGGACTGGGCAAAATAATTTAATAAGGAATCAAAATAATAACGAGAAAATTTTAAATTTAAATTTTAAGATAATTGGACAGAGCATTTTATTATGCAATTCGAATCCTAGACGTCCTGGAGCAAAACGAGTGGCAATTTTGAAATCAGCAGCCCAAAATTAGGTAATACAAAAAAAGTTTATATACAAAAGTGCTCTTTTAGTTCCACCCTTACTTCTTAAGAAGTCCCATAAGCCAACTGAATGGCTTGTGCGGGTTAGGGGTAGGAACGGACCGCGGGCTTAAAGTCCCCTCCGAAGGACTAATACACAATAGGACAAACACAAATAAACATCCATACCCCTGGTGGGATTCGAACCCACGACCTCCGGCTTGTAGTCAGCTGCACTAACCATGGTTAGTGCACTCGACCACCGTCGGCGATGTAGGTGGGTGTATCAATTTTATTGCGAAATAGGTTGAACAAAAACCTAATGAAACAATGTAATTTTTTACATCCTAGTCCTGTAAAAACTGATAACTGCTGACAGCTCTATAGAGCTTTATAAAGCTATCTAACCTAAATAATTTAGACCAATCGGGTAAAGTTTTTTTCCTAATATTCTTAAAAAACCCTTTGGACCAATAAAAAAAATCGACTACTGTCATATATAATCTACCCCACCTTATACTTTTCATAGTTATTTTTATTGTAAGTTTTATGAATTAACAAATAAAATTATGCCTCAAAAATAAAATGTTGTATGCCATGAGTATCAGAAGTGTCTTTGAGCTCAGCACAATTTTCCATAAATATTGTAACAGCGCGTTAAACATTCTCAGTTTGTGATGCCGTCTATTGCGCACGCCTGTTCATTCCTTTCTCCCCTATAAATTTCAATTAGTTTTTACAAAACAAATAAATGAGAACTATTATAGAATATTTCAGCAGATTAATATATTTCTTTTATTATTTCAATAGGGGTCCTACATGTTTAGAATAAAAAATAAAATGAAGCCATTTTATTTACATAAAAAAATTAAATTTGTAAATAGCTGAAAATGATGTTTATACGAAAAAATACAATTTTAATTATTTTACCCCTGCTTTTATAATTTTTTACAGTTTATGATTATGATATTTTATACATTTACTTTATATACTTTTTAAAATATAACAGAAGGTACAATGTGCATTGTTTTTTTTTTGTTTTTATTAAACTACTGACTTCCGTATTTTTATAAACCAAAT